TACTGCAGGTGACTTATATCCCGCGTTCTCGGTTTGTAACCGTCTTGCTTATTGATACTACAAAATACAGCTGCCTTATGGCATTTACGTACATTGACCGGTACTTATACAGTTTAATATAATATATTTCGGGAATGATTTTTAAAAACTGAAAAACGACGTTCTTTGCTTTTATATAGAAGCACTGACAGTGACAGAAAGTTCAGAAGAAGAATCATGAATTTGTGGATTTTTGCATTTTTTTGTTTTTCTTTGTTTCAATTTACAATTTATGCAGAAAAAGGTGAATATAATATATTTCAAACCAAAACTTGTTATGTCAACATATTCAAAGTTGACTCAAACCGAAGTGTAGAGTTGGTTGTAAAGTAAATCTTTAAATTTACATAATTCTGAAGATCAGGCGGAATCTATCTTTGCATTGTTTAATTTTGTGTCTTTATTTTTTTGTGTCCTTTAGTTATCAAAAACGCAACATTTGTGGATTTCTGGTTCAAACATTCATATAATGTATATGGGACAGGTGAACAGGTCATAAAACTTATAGTTTTGTCACTTTTGTATTAAGAGTCGTGAAGTGGTGGAGGTATAATGCCATTTTCCAAGCCAAAGTCTGTATCACTGTCACCCGAACGCCTTTCTGGTTCAAATCCCATTCCAAGCTAGTGGCCTAGAGCCATTTTCCCAGTGAAAATTAGGCAGTTCAGAACTTCAGCTCCCAAATAACCGCTTTACGACCCTCTATAAATAACTACAATGTAGTATATAACGTAGTTCAATATTTACCTCCGACAGTTTAGGAAACGTGGGGTTGGTTATCGCATATGTTCCGGTGGAAATGAACATGAAGTATGGCTAGTCACAAAAACTTTGAACATTAACCAAATCTTTGTCGATGTTAAACTTCATATCGAAATTGAATCACAAATGGAGAAATGTGAGAACCAACATGGTACTTGTTTCAAAGATGGATTTGAACTATTCACATATAACGGTGAAGGCGAGCCTGAAGTTCCATTTAATAAAAGTGTTAACGTTACCGCGAAAGAAAAACAAAAAGCAAGGGAATTCTTCCACAGTAACTTTACATATCTGGGTAACATTACTGGAAACGCTACAAGTAAACAGCTCGTGAATACGACATTTACCTTAAATCTTAAAGTATTTCATGAAATTACGTTTGGTATTAAATCTAGAGGTGGTTGTGGCAAAGTCAATCGGATGAAAGTCCACCACTATGTTTGCGATGAGACATTTATAAACAGTGTCATGTTTAAGAAGACATTGGCACCTCAAAACGGAACCAAAGAAGTGTTTGGTAATTGCTCGGCCAATACAGTTCAGGTTTCAAGTAAGGGTAACTTGAGAGCATATTGCCACAGTAATGGATCTTGGAGTACAGAAAGGGCTGGGGAAATGGTGTGTATGTGTGTTAAGGGGTATGAACCTACAACTAATCATGGATGTTCTGGTATGTTTTGACATACAGTTATATGTAGTCACATTTCAATTAATTAGCCTTTCTCACGCCGCCATTTTTGGGGTACTTTTTTGCCAATCTTGCGAGCGTAACACCACATAATGGCGACATTTTATAATTTTGTGGGTGTATGATGGTAAATTTACTCTGTAAATAGTTAGTTTGTTCTGAAATATTGCTTTTCACATTGTTATAACCGTTAACGAAAAATTACAGTACCCCAAAAATGGCGGAATGAGAAAGGCTAATGCGCTTTCTCTATATATATATATACAATCATTTAAAAAGTCGTTGGGACACTTGCGGTTTAGATCAACAGTGACTATATACATGCAAATTATTACAGGCATTTATATCTCCCTCCCCCGTATCACAAGCTAGAACACATTGCTATCGGAGGCACTAGACTTAGTTCCGAAATACCACACACTCGTAGCTCAGTTTGTAGAGCATTGGACTAGTATCCCAAAGGTCGAGGGTTCGATTCCCACCGTGAATGGTCAGGCTAACTTTTCAGCCTGCCCGGTGTGGAAATACACTCAGAGTAACATGAAAAAACATTATACTCGCCTGAGTACGTAACATCCAAACACACACAAAAAATATCATTACCCTCGTATATTTATAAGAACTTGTGCATGACAATCTTTTGGCAACAGGAATCTGGGCCATTAAGGTTTGATTCTGCCGAAATGCCTATCGTTGCATTTTGCTAACTAGATTAGGTCTTAAATACGTAGATACTATATTGATACTATCCACGAATACGTACTTAAACACTTTATCTTTTTTGAAGAAATTATTGACAATTCCACAAGATCCAGTAAAATACAGACCACCACTGTGATTATCATTATCTTATGTATAATCATCGGAATATTTGTTGTCATCGCATGTGTATTGTACTCAAGACAACGTAGACGTATGCGTGAAGCACGTTTCGGTGGGAAGGACATTGAAATGATTGATAAAATTCCACACGAAGACGGCTGGAATATCGATCGTGAGAACATTCAACTTCTTAAAACAATTGGCGAAGGAGCTTTTGGACAAGTGCTTAAAGCTAAAGCTTACATTCCTAGATTAGATTCAATGTGGCTAACAGTTGCCGTGAAAACTTTGAAAGGTATAATTTGAGTAAAATTAATCCGTTTTTTGCTTGTAATAATTGATTTTATATATTACTGTTATAAATTATCACTTCAATTTATTCACTTTTGTTTGATCGTTTTGCTACAACTAGTAGTATATCCTCTACTCACCTCTGGTGTTTATAACGTAGGTGCCTTGTATGGGACTTGCATTCTCGTTTGCAACTTTCCAACTCTTTTTTTCTACTGTAGATTTGTATTAAAGTCATGATGTATGCTTATTCCTTTTATGTACTGCTTGCTACAGATGATGCGACAGACGTGGAATTCGCAGATCTAGCTTCTGAATTGGAAGTGATGAAGAAAATTAGACCACACAAAAATATAATTAACCTGATTGGATGTTGTGCTCAGAATGGTAAATATGTGATGTCTCTTTCTAGCATACTGGGACTTCCACCGAAGGAATGGTTTATAGTTTGGCATTGTTTGGTCATTGAGTTACACATAATTATATTGTCCACGTACGCCTATACCAATCAAAATAATTTTCTACTCAATTTCCACATTGTTAAACTTTCCAAATTTAGATAGGACGATTTTCAATCTTTACACCGTTCCTATACCCGTAATCTTTACCCACACTTAAATGACACTGGAAATGCAATGCGTTATAAATTTCAAATCAGCCCTGTTATCAGAGTCTGAACAATGATATACGTTCGTGGGTAAACCTTACTACTCAATTTCCACATTGTTAAACTTTCCCAATTTAGATAGGACGATTTTCAATCTTTACACCGTTCCTATACCCGTAATCTTCACCCACACTTCACCCACACTTCACCCACACTTCACCCAGACTTCACCCACACTTCACCCACACTCAATTTCCACATTGTTAAACTTTCCCAATTTAGATAGGACGATTTTCAATCTTTACACCGTTCCTATACCCGTAATCTTCACCCACACTTAAATGACACTGGAAATGCAATGCGTTATAAATTTTAAATCAGCCCTGTTACCAGAGTCTGAACACTGATATACGTTCGTGGGTAAACCTTAAAAAAAGATTTAGCTTAAAAAATTCAATTCAATGGTATACCGCGGATCGAAAGCTACAGTATACCAAATTAGTTGTGGTATCTTCCAAAGACCAATCAACTTTATCTATATGACTATGTTTTCTTGATAATTTAGGTCCGTTGCTTGTGATTATTGAATATGCACCTCACGGAAATCTACGTGAATACTTACGAAACCGCAGACCACATAGACAAGGAATGACTCCAGCACCGCATGCAGATGAAGTGTTATCGTTACGAGATTTTATATCCTTCAGTTATCAAGTGGCACGGGGTATGCAGTATCTTGCTTCAATGAAGGTAATTGTTTCTTTATATACTTTTCTGTGTGTGTTTTGTATTATGTACTCAGGTGAATATAATGTTTGTGATGTTACTCTGAGTGTGCATCCACACCGGGCAGGTTGAAAAGTTAACCCATAGACAATCCAGAAGACTTGACTCAGAAGTCTTCTGGATTGTCTATGCTCGAACCGACTTGACCTCGTAGCTCAGTTGGCAAAACATTGGACTAGTATCCCAAAGGTCCATGTATAAGCCTCCCCCCGTATATAAGCCCACCCTTGTATAGTCGGAGGTTGTATATACAATGAGGAATGCTGCATGTCAAAATATTACCCAATCGATAGTTGATGTACAGTACTTTCATTATAATTTTAAAACAACACGATTATATAAACATGTACTCATCGTGTACTTTATATGGCAATGTCTTCAACAGTATGAATATGGAAAATATGAAAACATATGTGTTTTCATCCCTTATTAATTTCACATGGTAAATACGCTTAACTTTCAAATTCAGACTAAAAAAAAATCGACATTATTCTCTCGTAAAAATATTCTTGTTCTTCCTCTTTATAGTGCATCCATCGTGATCTTGCTGCAAGAAATGTTTTGGTTGGAGATAATAAAGTGATGAAAATTGCTGACTTTGGCTTGGCAAGAGATAAGACTGACTATTACAGAAAAACCACAAATGTATGTACGGCTGTGAATTCCTGCAATATACAGCTATTTCAATTAAGGTTGTCTTCCGAACAAAGTGGAAAAGTCGAATACGAGCGCGAAAGGCTGCTGGGAATCGCTAATAAATGAATGAACTTATTGGCGATTCCCAGCAGCCTTTCGCGCTTGTATTCGACTTTTCCGCTTTGCTCGGGGGACAACCTTAATTGAAATAGCTGTATATATACATAACATGCTACATGTTGTATACATGAATATTTTGCGGTCTCATGATATAAGAAGAGTGCTTTTAGTTACTGTATTCAACCAAACACCGAACTTATAACTGAATGATAAAGCTGTATACAGTCATATAAAAACCTTATAGCTTAGTTTTGTTTCAAATTGATGGGAAATGGAATTCATAATTTAACCCGTGGTTTAATTCCAGCTTAGTTTCCGTCTTTGTGTCAGCTGTCACAATTCTTTGTTTGAGTAATCTCTGCACTGTCAAAGTATAACCCTATTAAAAAGCTTATTGATTGAATAAAGTGATCATTGATTGGTCATAATCACTTTTTTCTAGGGTCGCTTGCCGATAAAATGGTTGGCGCTCGAAGTTTTGTTTGATCGAGTTTTTACAACGAAAAGCGATGTGTAAGTAATTCAAATAAAAGCTGCCTTCTGAAAGTTAAAACTCAAATAGCGTTCGAACCATAACACCATGAAAAGCACAATTGACTGGTACAGAACATGTGATCAATTATGAAGCGCGGCAGGGGAAATGTTTTTCGCCTGAATGTCGAGGTTTTGCGGTTGCTAGTTTTGACCAGCGGACAAACTTTTACCCTGAATTTCTGTGCGCGTTGCCGGCATTGTACTAACAACAAAAAAACTAGATCAGTAACATTTTATATTAACCTCCTCCGCAGGCATCTCACCCGATGAATCGGGTGGTCGGAAAAAGTTTGGTGAAATTTTTTTCAAAACCCATTCGCAGGCTAAAACCCATAGAGAAGCCTGCGGAGGAGGCTAAATTTTATACAGTATCTGTAAAAACAACTCTCCAATCCAAACATCCATTTAATTTATTCATTAAATTTATAGATGGGCCTTTGGTGTTCTTATATATGAGATATTTACTTTTGGTGAGTTTTTTTTTTGTTTTTTGGGGGGTTCCATTTTTAAAGATCTAGAAGGTCACATAAAGTTAATATATGTCAGTTGCTAATGTTTTCCAATATGTTCGTAGGAGGCACGCCGTATCCCAGTGTGCCAATTGAAAAGCTATTCGAACTTCTAAAATCTGGTTATCGAATGGAGAGACCTGAAAACTGTCCACCAGAATTGTGAGTGGCCGATCTTCCATGTTTTAAAATTAATTATAGGTACATATATGTATTAGACTCATATAATAATTGTAAAGTGTAAATTTAGGCCGTTTTAATATGTTCCTCACAACATTTCTTCATGTTCCTGTTAGATATGAACTGATATCACGGTGTTGGTCACAGGAACCAGGATGTCGACCAAACTTCACTGAAATTGTGGAGGAGTTGAGCAAGAGGTTGGAAAGCATGACAACAGAGGTGAGGTATTAAACTGTTGGGAAATGTTAGAGCTATATTTTTGAAAAACATTTATAAATTTAAGGTAATAAAAGTGTCAAAAACTTAATATGAGTAATGTCATGGTTTATTCAAACATTTGTCTGCATAGGCGTACGAGGCAGGGAGAGGGCTGCTCCCATCCCCCCAAAATATTTTTTGGTTACCTGGTGAAAGTGATACCTGGTCACTGACCTGGTTAAGTATTTGACTCAGTCCCCCAGTTTTATGTAATGATTTGCAAAAATGCGATGTCATTTGAAAAATTAGGGACTGTATCTATATAAACCCTTTATCTATATAAACCCTGGCTAACTACTGATAAAATCAAATCTATAGGTTCATGTTTTTTATTTACTATATATAGGAGTACATTGATGTTCAAGCGCCATCGTTAAGCGACAGTACTTCGCTCACACTATCAGAGTCAGGGCCTAACTGTCTGAGTTCAGTTCGTATATCTTTCGGAAACGTTTTTGTCGGCGAGGAAAATGACGCGGAGGACGAAGACGAAATACAAATGAACGAATATGATGATCCCGACAAGAGATCTGAAGAGAAGAGCAGCGACAATGTATTCGTCGAATCCGAAGTGAATTCCGATAAAGCCGAAGCAAACATGAAGGTTGCCGGCGAAGATTCGGTGTCGATAGGAAACGGCTCGGAAAGGGACGACAATTTTGAAGCCTAAAACCTGTTTTCCACTTCACTATATTCTACTGAAGCGTAGCGTATTTTGGTTATATTCTCCTGTTTCGTACACTTACTGTGATCCTAAAAAATAATAAGTAATTCAGGTCAAACTATACATATTAATTAAAAGTTGAAATAGGCCCTTGGGTGCTACCTATTTTTAAAGGCCTCTACGCCAGAATACACTGGGTCTGGGGATATAGGTCTTTTGCAGTTAGCCAAAACTAAAACTAGTTGAGAACACTGCGTACGTGATGGAAGAGCATGAAAACAGCCGGATTTGAGAGGCCATATTGAGACAGAGAAGACAAAAAGGCATAGCGTTTTCCTTGCCACCCAAAAATGGCGGATATTCGTCATCGTGGGAAAGGCTAATAGAGAGATAATAAGGCCACCACATATACATGACAGAAAAAGAAACGTACCTCCTTGTCACTTTATGGAACGAACGTCTAGAGGACCGATTGATTAAAACTATTCCTCAACTAGTTTTTTAAATACAAGTTGCATAAATATCTATTAGAGGAACATTTTACCCCTTAAATTTTCAAATTGATCATGATAATGAAAGAATTGTATTGTATTGTACTAGTACAGTACTGTCGATTTGGAAAAAAAAATGGTAGCCAGCGAAACAGAAGTGTGGGAGGAAGATGTATGACGTCATCAAGATATTCTTGGGTGGGTTCTGCGAACGCCAAAAGCGCGAGCCTGCTAGCTTTTTTTAAATCTGAGGCCTCTCAGAACCCCTGAAATGCAATAAAATTTGCTAGCTAAACAAAAATTGGTCCGTAAGAATTACTTAGAAAAACAATAAACAATAGAGCCATCGTTGACTCTGGGTACGAGATTGTGTAATGCCAATGATTGTGTAATGCCAATGCCACAAAGGTAATGCATTGAACTCAATTGAACTCAGATTGAACTGAAAGATACCGCTGACTGAAATGTTTACTTTTTGAATTCTTAAAAAGTAAAAATAAAAACATGGTAGACGTATTAAAAAACACCACGAGGGAAATAATTGCCACTACAAAACGCGATATTTTACAGGTACATACGTTTTTTTATTTTTATCTAACCGAGCATTGTCAGATTTATTGTTTCGTTATGTTAGGTAATAGAAATTATATTTTATTTGAATGGTATTGTATGCTTGGATTTGCCTGGCTTTTTTCGCTGGGAAAACGAGATTTGCCATTTGGAATATTACTTTATGGCATGGGATTTGCAGCACCAGATTTGCTGTTGGGAATGGGATTTTGTAGGTCAGTAGGCTGAGTGAGTGGGACTAGCTAGTGACTGGAAAATTTATTGACTAGATTTTGCCTGAAAAAGTAGGATGTTGGATATTTATTGAAATACCCTGAGTGTCCAGTCATCAATCTGTGTTGTGTTGTGTTGTGTTGTGTTGTGTTGTGTTGTGTTGTGTTGTGTTGTATTAAATTTTATCCTATTATTTCTTGCATTCAAATACTCAATTTAATTCTGCCAATATTTATTCTTTTCTGTTCTGTGTTGCATAAAATCTTACCAATTATATAAGACATTATTTGTTTACATTTTTCCAGCAAATATGAATTTTAAACAAAATGGTAACAACTATATTTATTATATTCATGTATTCTTGCATGATTGACTTTCTCCTGGCCAGGCCATACGTGGAGGTAGTGGTGGGGAGGATGTGACAGCAGAGGCAACTGGTGATATTTGTAAATTTATTATTAATTATTAAGCCATTAATGGCAATTATAATCTTCTGAATCTGAATGTACGGGGACCGTGGAACAGGGGGGCATGGCCCCCACTTTTTCGGTGGATAAAGACTTCCCGGATAAAATAGCCTGCCTGTGTGGCATAGCTCACGTGCTATCTAGCTGGCCCCAGCCCCACTTTTGAAAACAGGCTCAGCGGTGCATGGGGCTACCATATATACATGCAGCTAACTGATAATATGTGGCGTTGAATGCATTTGTTTGGATGTACAGGTAGATGGAAAAATCCTACATATGGCCTTACTCCTCTCTTTTCTGCAGGGGTTATTAATTGTTCTTTGGACAGCTCTCACAGTTAGTTGGGATCTATGGTGTTGGATAAAATAATGTGGCCACAGGTGAAGGGAAAACAAGAGCTGTCCAAAGATGTCTGAAGAACAATTAATAACCTCTGGGAGGAGACAGTCCAAGTTGGCAACATAGCTGAACAATGGATTTATTCACCAGTGAATAAAATCATGCATTCAGTTATGGAACAAAATTTATGGAGTTTCCTTGTTTATTTTTAAATTTTTTTACACTATCACCACCATATATATAGAATACTTATTGAGTGGTACTTTTAGGAAAGTCATAGGTTGACGAAATATACTGTTTATTTTCCTCAGTTGCAGTCAGTAAGTATTAAATATTTGCCATAGTATAGAAATATATTGTATTGATACAAGCTGGATTAGGCTCCAATGTATAGGGATAATTTAAATGAGCTTTAATTGTACCAAATCAAGTTTATAATGTACAATATTGCATGCATGCATGCATATATTTGTAAGCCATCCATCCATACAAATGAATAAACTATTCTTCTGATATACAGCACAAATATTTAAATTCAATACAATGAATATATATTAATATATATCCCCCCTTAAAATTTAGAAAAAAATATTATTATTATTATTTAATATCCTTTGTATTAATTGTGTTTTATTGGGTACAGCTTGCTGTCAGATCTCAGCAATGTTTGCCATTATGTAGGTTTGCATGCCATTCCTGAAATATTAAATGTTTTTCTTTTTCTGCCTTTCTGGCATTTCTGCCTCACAAACTCTACTCTATTACACTTCTCTGTCCAAATCTCTGTGTTTATTTTGTATAAAGTTCTACTTAAATGGCCTTCTGTGTTCATCTGTCTACCAATGCATAGGAAAAACGTATTAGCTAATGTAGGAAAAAGCTACCAACATGTATAATCAATATAAGCATGGCATATAGATATAATACCCAAATATCTTGCAGTTTGAAAAGAAAATCAATACTCTTTTTTTGGACGTGTTCATAGACGTCTTTTTAGAAAGTGCATGCTGTTTTCCAATGATGCATGCTTGCCATGCTGTTTTTCATTTTTTGCACTTGCACCGGAATTACCTATACAAATTGCGTTACATTACATGTATATCTATCATCAGCATGCAAGTTCCGGCCAGTAGATTTAGTTGGAAATGTAGCTTCTTCTGTAATATATCAATGGTCAGCCCAGGCTTGTTTTTCTGAAGATGCAAAGCAAAGATAAAAGATCATACCAAGTACGTTTACACCAGCAGTTATATAAAATACAATGGCCCACTGATGTCGGATATCATCCTGAAAATGTGCAAGAAAATTTGATTTATAGTAGCAGTTGGAAAAGTATTCATGATGAAGGTAGATGAATGTTTAAGAAAACATGTGTGGAGTATTGGAATACTGTTGAATGCCTTTAGCTAGGTTGTCAATAAGGAGATAAAACAAAGATGAATACAGAATAAATTGAGAATAAATGAACAGACAGCTAGATTGGAAAGACAACTCAATGGCGATGGAAGTTTGTTTCCAGGATAATGGACAGGAAGAAGAACATCCATTGTACAGGCTGGTAGATAAGAGAAGATGGGTCATGAACAATAAGAATCGGTGGGAATGATAAGAGAATAAAAAAAGAATGAAGAGTATTAAGATGAGATTTTTTTGTATGTTACGTAACACGCGCTCAAAACTAATGCGTATAATATATCACTTGAGGTTATGACTAAATTCAAAATTTTTATTTTTCGATACGTTTCTCAATCGGCAAACAAAGTTAAAAGGTATGTTTAGTGCTTTATCTGTAAAATAATGCTAAAATGAAGAAATTTTAAATGATACGCCAAAGAGAAAATGATGTCTGAAGTTCAGTAAGTTTTGCTTATATGGCTATAAATATGGCGTCAATTTTAAAGCATCATTGATAATTGTTTTTTAATTGAAAATTTTTAACTATTAGTTTATGTTTCTCAACCGGCAGACGCATTTAAAAAAGGTTGCTAACTCTATAAACTAGAGAATAAAGCTAAAACAAAGTAATTTTGAGAGGAACGCCAAAAAGATTTTAGGTTTTGAACACTTTTCATTGCAAATACGTGACATTGAAAAAAAATTGCCTCTTAAATTGATCGAAAAAGTATTGATAGGGTAGAGACAATGAGGTCTATATATGTATCTGGAGCAAGAACTTCAGTCATTCAGCCTATATGCAGGCTATGAGAAAACTAGAAAAGTGATGCCAAGATGGAGAAAATTTACATCCAATACTTATGAGGGTCGTAAACAGTTTTAATCCCATGTTTCCCAGCTAATTCCAGTATAAAATGGGACCGTGTAAATGGACAGAGAGAAAGTGCTACCTACCCCGTGAATAGTAATCGCTCCGACAACCTCGGGCGAAATAAATCCGGTAATATTGCAAACAAAGTTTCCGACACCCATTAAAATACCAGAATATTTTGGCGCCAATTCAATTAGATTTGTCGACGGCCCAGATGCTGTTAAATTCGACAAGGTTATTGCTATGGTGACAATGACGATGGCGGAGGTGGCTGTTGACGCGTACACCATTGCGACTACAAAAATGGCACCAATTCCAGCACCTGGGTAAACGTGAAATTAGAGTAAATACAAATAATAAGTGAACTAAACTAAGCCAAACTAACATTTATCTACACTAGATAACTCTATCAATTCTAAAATTTCCTGCATATATGCAAATATTGCACTAGCAATCAAACCCCGTTCGCAGAGAAAAAGACTGACACATTACACACTATGCCAAGAACGCCAACATAATAATTTATTGTGGGAATTCAAAACCTTCAAACCTTAACTGTTACTAAAACACGATAAACTTACCTATAAAACTCGAAAGTTTTCTTGCATTGGTTGTACTAATATATCTTTTGCTTCGTAAAACATCTATAAAATATCCCCAGGCAGGACACATAATACCAGCCACGACATAAGGTAGTGAGCTAGCAAAACCAATCTAAAAACACAAAACTTATATGAAATTTTATCTCAATGTTTTCTTTTCTTCATAATATATTTCCGGTACTTACAACCAAATCCAAGACATTTTCAATAATTTGTACTTGGTATACTTACTGTAGTAATGTGCAAGTTCTGAACGTCTTTCAAATAGGTAGGGAACGACAACATAAATGTATAGAAACCCCAGCAGTCTGTAAAGTTAGGTATAATGATCGCCCAGACTCGTATCGAGGTTAAAATGTATCTCCATGGAATATCACGAAGCGTTAGCTAGAAGTGAAGAGTATACGGTATAAAGTTGTATTATAATTCACTGAATTTCGCTGGCTATATACTCTGGGCTTAAGTCACTAACTTCCCTATTATATAGACCTCTATATAATAGGGAAGAATAAATAAGGAAGAATAGGTCTTAATATACACCTCTTTATACAGACCTCCATGGAGCTAAAGTGTATACATTCAGCGATTAATGAGACTTGATCGGCTTACCAGTCAACGTTCAAGATATAAAAAGAGCGTGTGAATTAAACAAGTCACATAGTATTACTAGCACTGATGAAGATCCGGGCTTACGGATAGAAAGCTTTGCAGTAATAAATTTACGTGGTGTTTCCACAAACAAAACTATTATATAGACCTTCTCTCGAAACACAGTTCGCTACTATGGAAGTTCTATAAACTGTGTTAGTCTAAGCTTGTATTTTTCAGGTAGTTATATCTCAATCAGTCTCAGTCTCAGTGGACTCACAAACTCTAAATCGTGTTTAGTGTTTGCCTGATACACAAAATTACACATACAGTACATACTTTTGTATTCCAGTGTTTTCCTATAAGGTCTAGCTCAGCTTTACTGATATTAGGATGGTCACTTGGCTCTTCATAAGCAAAATATAACCAACATAAATACCACAGGATTCCCTGAACACCTGAATGAAATAAACAGATATATACACGTAAGCAATAAATGGCTAGTAATCGAAAAAAAATCATTGGTTTCTTTTGGATTTTATTCAGTCTTTCGTTATGTTAAACGTTTGCGAATGAATGAAGTCGAGATTATGCGACCCACCGTGTGTAATCCTATATACGCAAATATAGTCGGACGACACAGAGAGACTTGTCATTTTGATGATTGCATTGACCATTACAAAGAAGTAAAGAAGAGTGTTGTGAAATTTCGCTGCATCAGCATTTTAAATTTTCTCGTATTTTTCAGGACACAACAAGGACGTTTGAAAAACATACCAAAGAAATAAAAAACAGACGGCCATCCCCACGAACTGCCAGCCAGAACACCGCTCAGTGAATTGGCAAATACCGTTCCCCATAGAAGGCCTGGTAAGAAACGGAAGAAATGGATGATAGTGTTCAGTGCAGGTAAAGTAAAACGAGGTCTAAAGGTACTAAATAAACGGAAACATCGATCACTGCGACGTATGGCTTAATTAGTTAATATTTAACCATGTATACCTGAAACTACTACCATCAGAAAAATACTTCTCTCGTAAACCGGAGCCCATTTGCTTATTAATGATACTCCGGAAGCAGCAACCAAACCCTTGACAAAACACACAATTATTGTAAATTTAAAATATATTTATTCTTACATTACTGATAATGGACCTATATTGACCTGGTTTAGGTGTTCATTTTTTGACCTGGATTAGGTGCCAAACATTTACATCTATAAGCCAGGTTGACAGTCGATTGCAACTATGCGTAATACAATGTATTGCTTGTCGTGACATGCACAGGGAAAAAATCAAAAAGCCTAACCAAAAAACTAACCAAAAAGCCTCCTTCCATGATACGCAAGATTATAAATGCATACACATTTTGTCGAACGATGAACGGTGTAACTAGCGTAAGAACTGATGAGCCAAATATTGCAATACCAAGTAGAAAGGATGCACCGTATTTGACGCATAGTAGTCCAGCTGGTATTTGCAGTGCAGTGTAACTCCAGTATAATGACGCCAATATTGTACCTAGAGACGATGAAAATATATTTCACTGTTAACAAAAAGTCAAATACTGAAATTTCCAGGAAAGCTAGCCAGTTGTTTTTAGTTATATATTCAAAAATTAAAATGACAACATATCAAACCTTGAAATTGTTTATCCCAGTGAAATTCTGGTTCCTGGTGGAACATGGAAAATAAACATTATTTACAAATATATATTACTATTAATTTACTGAGGATTGTTCTCATAAATGGTTTGGAACAATAGTAAAACTCACCATTTCTTCAGATGAATGAGTCCCAGTGTTATTGTTCTGCTTTCCTTCGCCATGAGTCATTGCCACAATGGTCACGTTAACACACATACGTATGCAGTACATGTTAAAGTTGGCCAACGTGACGAGGAGCAAAATTATAAAACGTTTTGGGATTGCTGCAAATAAGCTAGGTTTTGATACTTTAGCACTGAGTGATCCATTCTTGTTTATCTCGCTATTCACATCAAGGGGTTGTCTTTTTTCGCTAAATGATGAACATGCAGATCGGAAGTTATTTTAACATTCGTGCTTCCTTCTTTAGTTGTATCTTTTTGCCCTCTTTTGCAGCTTTTCAATTCTAATTTTTACTTTCCTAATTCCTTATTACTTTCGTTCTCAACTTTCTGTGTTTCATTTCTACACCCTTGAACGGCGCAAATTGTGATCATTTGGAACGTGTTTAGTTTTTTATCATACCTTATACTTATCTTATTTCATTCCTTTAAACTTATTTATATTCTTTTTTTATTCCTTCTGCAAATTTAACTTTGACTCTTTGTTTTGACTTTCCTGTCTTAATATCTATTTCCTCCCTATTGTCTTACTCATTTTCGTTCCTTCTCTCAGCTATCCTACTTTGTTACCTATAATCCTGTTTCTTTTTTCATTCTTTATTTTTCATTCTTTATATTCTTTCCATTCATTCACTTAATTCTTTCTTCTTTACATGATGACTTATTTGCTTACTATTTTTATTTTTCAAATTAATTTTCATCAATATAAAAATTGCGTACCACAGTTCAATATCAGCATGGTTCACTTCACTATCTGAGTGTGGATATATAAATTTGCCCATTTCACAGTGAAGTTTTCGTGTTGGTTCATCAGGGTTTTCTGAAAGTAGCTTGGTTCGATCATTTTGGTACTCATCATTCTCCTCGTCACTTAGCATCCTATTTTTATATTATAAATTTATGATCTGTACAAATTTATGATCTTACAATAATTATATGTACAATATAAATTTCAAGGACTTCAATGAACGTTATTATTACGTATATGTTTACCGATGGTCGGCAGGTCCTCGTTTAAGGATTCATCGATGGGGAGAGTGGGAGTAAATCCATTTACCAAGTCAAATGTCCGAGTCAAATGTCCGAGTCAAATGTCCGAGTCAAATTTCCGAGTCACGTAAAAAAGGACGAAGTTGAATAAAATTCACAATCGAATAGGGTTAGGTGTATAGGGTTAGGGTATACTAAGTCATTGAACTACAAAGACTGCTATACAGTGACTCGGACATTTGACTCGGGCTCGGATTTGACTCGGTTAACCGACAAACTCGGGAGGGGGCATTAAGGGGAAAAAACCTAACTATAAGAACTGGAAAAGAACAACATTTTTATATAAGCCTCTGCAGCAGTGCAGCTTGATTTCCTGACAAGCAACTTTTAAATGACTCGAATTCAAAGACCCCCATCGAGATCCCATTATTGCGTGACTGGTAGTTTATATCATATGCTCGAACTGGCTATATTCTCGAAATTAATGTCCAAGTTTTCTTTACAAATTCCGGCAATTACGAAACAGTTAATGTAGAACACAACCTACATTAATGTGCAGCCACCTTTTTATTTTAACTTTCTCTGTATAAGTAGTCTATAAACGTTTGCAATCTGACCATTTTATGTTCTATAGGGAAAAACTGTATATCTATTATTGAGAGCAAAATTGTCAATCTATCAATAATAATGTCTTCCTATATATTGTTTTAAAATATCTATTCATATACTCGATTACTTGTTAATGGAATTTCCTGCATTGAGTATTGCATATAATTATTGAGAATATTATATTTTTTTAAATAAGCACAGTATGTCAGTGATAATGATTAGTCGCAAAATGTAGCCAAATACAATGAGTTCACTGAACCACAGTAACTGAACTTACTAAATTACCGAACAAAATTGCAGTTTCTTAATTTCCATGATTGAATAGTGATTATAAAGAAATCTAAATGTCTGAGTTTATTTTATAGCATGATCTAGACAAGTGGACAAGGCGAATTACAAGCGCTTGCCAATAAAAGATTTATTCCCCTAAAGTTTCAGTAGAATATTAATTATATATATATTATATGGAGTATGTAGATATGTCAACGTTTGAATGTAAATATTTACCTTGAAAACGATCACGTTAAGACCATAATATTACTCTTCGTATTCGATTTAAAACAAGAGACGAATATTCATTCCAATATTAACGATATCCACGGCTTTCAATAGAGATATTATCGTTTAAACCGGTACCGTAAATGCTGCATTTTACCCGTCATCTACAACGTATATTTATCTCACAACTAGAGGAATATTACTTAATTTTTGAAATAATGCTAAAATAGCGATCCTCTAACGAGTTAAGATGCAAGACACGTAAACAAAGACACAAAGTTCCAAATTAGTATAAATTTGGTATTCTAATTGTATTCTAATTTGGTATTCTAATTGTTTAAAGCAGGTGAACAGGACTGTGATTGTTTTATCAAAAAATTCCAAAGACAAATCCAACATGTCAAACAAACACAACAGACCCAACAAATTCAGAAGACCAATAAAACCAACAGACTCAACAAGCCAAACAAATCCTGATAGGACCAATAAACCAACCTCGTTCCCAGGTGGGCTTTTCCCTTTTTGTGCCAATAAACCCAACAAACTTAACAACGGTTTCACATTGCCGAACGCGCGGACAAATTCACCAACTGGAAAATCGGCTTAAAATAAAATGCTAAGTAGTTTTAAGCTGGCAAGCGCTATATAGTGGTTGTAGCTCCTTGTTTGCATATTGCATAAAATTGCTTGCATCAATTGGCTATATTGTATCTTATTGTATGAATATAACTTATGAAAGATTACAATACAACATTTGAACCATATTCTTCTGAGATATATTTAAAATATAGTGTATGGTATAGAACTTAGAGTATAACACTCTATAATATGCATGCTTACGGCTTAGCAAACATTGAAATTAACATTCATATTTATAGATAAAGAATTGCGCAATTATATTACATCATTGATACTAAAATATAAACATTTATTATATAAAGTAGCCTATAGTACTTTATAGAGATTTCGAGCACTGATAAAAGTGATAATCTCACATGTGAGATTATTTATGATAATCTCACATGTGAAAATTATCGCTTTTCAATTTTCGCTTTTCTGTAAAAATTATCGCTTTTCAAAGACTGCCCTTTATATAATCAACAGAAAAATACATGGGTGCTTGGAAATACCAGATTTATTTCTCGTGTTTTCTCTATATAAAATCTATTTTATTTATCTAACTGCTAAATAAAGTGGCTGAAAAGCGAACAACCTGCCCATTCCTTTGACAAAGCTGGGCCATAATCCCCCCTTCCTATCATTAAAATTTGGAAAAGAAAGAGAAAACGTATTTGACATTGAGTAAGGGTTTATGATGCTGGTAACAGAAATTTTCCGCTTACTGGAGATGACTACTACAAGTATTTCTTTGCATGTTATTTTAATGTGGAGTATAGGGTAGTAGTAGTAGAGTTTTGCTAGTCTCGACAAAGTTTTCCAGTGATGTAGGATTTTGTGAAAACCTGTTAAATAAACATGTTATCCCTGAAATATTGTTTCAGCTTCCACCTTATTTCGGCATCTCAAACTATACTCTTCCAAATTTCTTCGTTTTATTTCTTTTCTATGTAAAAATTATCTCTCAATTTCTCTTTGCCAACCATAAAATTCTGGCATCAATATACCTGTGCCCGTGAGGTTTGCATGAAAAACGTTCACCATTTTCTTATAGACGTCAAATAATTGCACTCGTCTTCTTTTTCTTGGACTTGATAGTCTTTGAAAACACACTTGATGCCTGTTAATCAGTTTCAATTTGTATTTGCACTCATTCAATTACCTATCGGTTACAAGAGTTGCGGTAGGTGTGAATGAATAACATCTTTGATTTTTTAATGATCAGCCCAGGCTTGTTTTTCTGAAGTTCCAAAACAAAGATAAAAGGTCATACCAAGTGCGTTAACACCAGCAGTGATATAAAATACGATTGACCATTGATGACGGATATCCTGAAAATGCGAAAGAAAAATATTTATTAAAATGGCATAAAAATTCATTGAGAAGGTATTAATGATCATGGTGGAGACCATTGAATATATAAGATCCCTGAGACGTAAAAGTATTGATGATAAGATAGAGATATATATATGGTTGCTGATGAAGGAACATAATGGATGGGAAATCGTCAAGATATATGAAGAAAATATATAAGGGAACTGGGTGAAATGGTGAAACCGTGAAGGCGGAATGATTTTCATGTATTGAAATGTATCGCACTTCATATACTTATATAGTTATGAAGGAACTGAAGTATTGTTGATCCGATCCTGTTGAAATAATGCATATCGACATTATACTTCGGACAATGCATTGTTTTCAAAATGTAAAACTGTGACTTATTTCCATATGTATCAAAATTCTCTCGCCTCTCATCCCGTCCAGGTATAAAATTGGATGTAGATAAAAAGATGTAGATAAAACTTTATTTAAACACGCTATAACCCCTTCAGGATTTGCTGATTTCCAAGAGGGGCGTGATGATAAAATATATACAATAGTTATACACTTACATATTAAATTTTACAATTAGTTAAATCATGGTTAAATAAAGATATAATAATAGATTTAAGACTGCAGGCTAGTATCAGAAATCAACGAATTGAATAGATTTAATGAATTTGCGCTTCTTAACTCGCAAGGTAAGCTATTCCAGAGTTTTGCTCCACTATACCGGATGCTATTTTTCAAGTATTCTGTTTTTGGTTTTGGTAAGTAAAACTTGAAATCATGGTCTCTTAAATTGTAATTATGTTGAGGAGCAGATGAGTCTTCAAAGATATCGGTTAAAACAGGTGGTGCTTGCGCATGAGCAATTTTGTACATAAACTTGCCCCTAAAGATTAATCTGCGTTCTTTTAACGTTTTCAATTTCAATTCAGACAAAGCGGCTTCAGACTGACCATGCTCATTTCTATATCCTAAGATGACCCTTGCTGCCCTATTTTGGAGTACTTGTAATCGATTTGTAAGCGTGGTACCAATTGGATCCCACACAAGCTACCTACCCCGTGAACATGCGGAGAAATTGCTACCTACCCCGTGAACAGTAATTGCTCCGACAACCTCGGGCGAAATAAATCCGGTAAGATTACAGGCAAAGTTTGCGATACCCATTAAAACACATGAATATTTTGGCGCCAATTCTACTATATTTGTTTCAGGTCCAGATGTGTTAAAATTCGACAAGGTTATTGCTATGGTAACAATGACGATAGCGGAGGTGGCTGTTGACACGTATACCACTGCGACTACAAAAATTCCACTAACTCCAGCGCCTGGTTGAAGAAAGTAATTATAAATAATTAGTGAACTAAACTAAACCAAGCTACTAACATTATTTATCCGAGATAGGTCTATCGATTCTAAAATGGAGTAAAACTGCATGTTTTAATTTACGTAAATAAGCATATTTAAAATACGGTCGACAAGCAGTTTTTCTGAAAAACGTAATTACGTCAATGGGAAATATTGTTTTGTAGCGAGAGTTAAAATCTTTCAAACTGCAGGGAGCTACCTTAACCGTTACTAAAACACGATGGAACCGTTCATATACCAAAGTCTTACCTATAAAACTGGAAAATTTTCTCGCATTTGTTGTACTAATATATCTTTTGCTTCGTAAAACATCTATAAAATATCCCCAGGCAGGACACAAAACAGCAGACAAGACATAAGGTAGTGAGCTAGCTAAACCAATCTAAAAACAAAAAACAAATTTATGTGGATTTTTTTATCTTAAAAGAAAAATTGTCTGATATACATGCACTGCGGAAAATATTGACCTAAAACTTGGGTAAAATAAAATTTGGAACTGACAGTTGAGTTAAAAAATGGCAGGGACATGGGATTTCCCTTCACAGAGTCCAACTTTTCCTTTTATATTTTGTGACTTTCTTGATGACGTTTCAAGTCAAATGATTGGGCGTATAAGCTTTGGGACATTGATCACATTTATATAACCAAATTGAACACATTTTTATAGGTCTTTATATAGTACTTACTGTAGTAATATCTAAGTTATGAACGTCTTTCAGATAGGTAGGGAACGACATCATAAATGTATATGTAGTCCAACAGTCTGTAAAGTAAGGCACAATGATCGCCCAGACATATATCGAGGTTAACATGTGTTTCCATGGAACATTACGGAGCGACAGCTGAAAGTGAAGTAGACGTTTGTCAGTCTCGTGTTTTCAGACTCGTAGATCATTCCTACATGACTGGTCACGTGACGACAAGAAACTTTTATTTATGGCCAAAATATTTTTAGAAACAAATTTTGCACTGAAACTACAAAAATCATGCAAAGAAACGTTTTTATATTGTTTGTGCCAAGTTTTATCGGGAATGAATAACATTCAGGATGAGTGAATCGAACATAGTTTTTCACCTCCAATATGGAGGACACATTTCTTACACACTAGCTTTTATAAATCGTGTTAATGATTTACCTGACACACATGCATATATATACATACACTATACCATACATACTGTTGTATCCCAGTGCTTTCCTATAACTTCTAGCTCAGCTTTCGTAATATTTGGATGGTCGCTAGGCTCTTCGTAAGCAAAATATAACCAAAATAAATACCACAGGATTCCCTGAGCACCTCAAAAAAGATACACCATAAAGAAATTACTTTTCACAGAAAAGCATTTGATGTAGCTGCGTTTAAATTCAACGAGCTTTTTGGTGATAACAAATTAAACTTGGTCACGTTGGTGCTGGGTCATTCACCTGAAAGATGTCAGCACTCATCTGCAAGATATCGGCAATCCCCTTACTGTTTAATGGTTTGTTGTGTTATATTAAACATTGTAGCTCTTTACAATGAATATCATAAAAGGTCATGAGGATTTTTGTTGCATAATAACCACTTGCAGGGCACATGAAAACATACCAAAGTAAAAAAATACAGACGGCCATCCCCACGAACTGCCAGCGAGAACACCGCTCAGCGCATTTGCAAATACAGTACCCCATAGCATACCTATAGAAAAATTATGTAACGAAGTTCAGTTCTGGAAAAATATTCTATACTCTGTAGCAAAAAAAAATTGTGTTTGAAAAATAAATTTAATTATATGCAATTACAATACACTCTGTGCAGTCATTTGCTGTAGAACCTCGCTTTTGTTGTAAAGACAGTAATTTAGAGCATTTTATCTTGTTATTGACATAGAACAGATAACCAATTTGTCCTTGGGCAATGTGACCTCCTAGCGGAAGTAACTTACAGAAAAACATTCATGACTAAACTGGTTAAATATGATTGTGTCAGTACCTGAGTGTCCTACCATCAGAAAAATGCTTCTCTCGTAAATTGGAGACCATTTGGTTATTAACGATATTCCTGCCACACTCACCAAACCCTTGATAAAAACAATTAGTATTTTTGCACAAGTGCACATAACAAATCCTACACGTTGATTGGTCAAATTTGACGTATATTAAGATGTTATATTCACCTACAGGTGAATATAACAAAACGGAAATTTTCAAAATGGCGGCTAGCAGTTTTGTGGAAGTTACTGATAAAGAAATAAGCGAAATTAAAATAAATTCAGTCCCAAAAACACAAAAGACTTGTGTATAAAAATACTAAAACAATTATTCGCCTCAGGCTCGGTGATTAATTATCGGGGAATATTCACCTCGACTTCGTCTCGGCGAATATTCCCCGATAATCACCTCGCCTTCGGCAAATAACTGTTAATTATTAAAAACGAAATTTCATGAACTTCATTACGCATATTGCTATATATATCCATGGCATACACAGAAAAATACTCTTGTTACTAACCAAGAATGCCCCTTCCATGATACGCAAAAACAGAAGTGCGTAGACATTTTGCCGAAGGATTAACGGGGTGAGAAGGGAAAGAACGGATGAACCAAATATTGCAATACCAAGTAAGAAAGAGCCGCCGTATTTTACACTCAGTAGTCCAGCTGGTATTTGTAATGCAGTATAACCCCAGTATAATGATGCCAATATGGTGCCTGTGGACGATAATAATATAAATTGGTATTAACAAACGAAAGAGTAGAATTAGCTAGATGCTGTGACATAAAATTTAAAAGCTTGCATCACATTGGGCTTCTGTATGAGTTGATGGTTGTCAACCTTTATTTGCGACCAACTATATACAACACTGATGAATTAACATCATTTTCACATTGTAATAACTGGTATTTTTAAAAATTCAAACAAAATTAAGGCTAAATTTGCTGATTGAATAATACAAGATATCGAACCTTGAAATTGTTTATCCCAATGAAAGTCTGGTTCCTGAAAAAATAGAAAATTATTTAGCAATTACAACTTATCCAGAACTGTTCTCATAAGTAATAGGTTGCCTAGAACATCAGAAAAACTCACCTTGTCCCTAGATAAATGAGGCCCAGAGCTATTATACTGCTTTCCTTCGCCATGAGTCATTGCGACAATGGTCACGTTAAGACACATACGTATGCAGAACATGTTAAAGTAGGCCAACGTGACAAGGACAAGAATGATAAAACGTTTCGGAATTTCGGGAAATAAGCTAGTTTTTGATACTTTAGTACTGGGACTGAGTGGGTCATTCTTGTTTATCTCGCTGTTTTCATTCAGAAGTTGGACTTTTTTACTAAATGAAGGATAAGTTCACGTTATACGGAATATCTGAATAATTTGAATATCTCTTCTGTTCTGGTTTCTTCTGTTCGTTTCTTCGTGTGATTATTTTACATTCTTTGTTTTTTCTCTTTCTTAATTTTTTCTCTCTTTTCTTAATTTCTTACTTTTTTCCCTTCCTTCTTTAGTTTTCACTTTCTTTCCCCCCTCACATTATTTACTTCCTGCGTTCTTTCATTATTTTATTCTTTGTTTTTTTTATGATAATTTTTTTAGTTGTTTCATTTCTTCATTTCTTGTGATTCTTTCATTATTCTTTCTTTAGTTTTGCCTCCTTCGTTTCTTTCTTTCTTCTCATCCACTTCCATTCCTTCTTTTCTCCGCTTACATTCGTACTCATTCTTGTTTATTTCTCTCTTATATATACCTACTGACTAGCTTGCTTTTAGTTAATAATATAAACATACTATAGTTCGTTATTCCCATGAAAGATTTCACTGCCCAAGTGAGTCGTGGTTGTTTCAGTGTCTTCTGAAAGTAGCTTGGTCTGGTTATTTTGATATTCATCGATTTCCTCATCATTAATCATCGTTATTTAATATCTTTAAAATCAGAATCAATTTATACGACACTATTTATAGGAATTGAAGTCATATACAATGTGTCCAAGTTTGTTTTAATAGAATTTTCAGGTTTTTATACGAGATAGATAACATACCAGATGAATCAATTGATATTTGACCGATCAAAATAATATCCAATCATTTGCCTTATAAAAACACGTATACAGTAGCAATATTCGCAGTTGTCCAAATTATGGAAATTAGGTTAGTTTAAACGTAACTATACGTTTACTTGATCAGTCCAATTGTGAATAAACTAAAGTGTTTGCTACTTCCATCAAAGCTAATGTACGTAGTAATACTACTAGGTATAATAGGGGAAGGGGGAGAGGATTTTGGGGGACACCTAGTGTGTATTAGACTAAAAATGGAGGTATTTTAATAACTGGTGTATCCAGTGAGGAGCTAACCATCGCCCGTCTACATGCATATATGAAAAAAGAGTCGTTGAGCTCAATATCCTTATAATTATTGGCATAATTTCTTGAATGAACGATATTATACAATTAATAATAAAATTATTTGTAGGATCCATCATCATTATTATTTTACTGAGCCTTATAGCTTTGCCAGAAGATTTAGTTACTATTAAAGAAGGGCTATCTATTAGACAAAGAAAGGATGACAAAATATATATGTTAAGAACACATCATCTCATTAGATATTGCCAATATTGAGTTATTCAGTTTACTTGGTCAGTGGTTGATGTGGTCGATTGAGTATATACCGGTAGTGAACTTATGATAGACCGTTTAAGCGGTATAAAATCTCGTTGCAGTTTAGAGTGCGAGGATAACAGCAAGACAACCGCGGTGTGAGACAGATACAAGTACCTGACAGGTATTAAACCAAATCTAGAACTTCCACTAACTTCCAATATAACTTCCCGACGAGGGGACGTCGCTCGAAACGCCAAAGCTGTTTATGTTTTCTCTGTCGCACCGCAGATAGTGCAGCTGTCCGTATTTATAAGTATAGGCCTATGACCCTATGTAATATTTGATACGTATAGCCACAAACATAGAATACAGTTTTGTATTACGGATCATAATTTCAGTTGATTTTATCTATGATTAGTAATATTATAAAGTTATCTGTATATATCGAATTTAATGAAGTATAGCATAAGGCGAGTGCCTATATTAATTATATCTGCATGACATATCTCGATGTGTCAGTAGTATCAATCAATGTAATAATTTACCTTAACAAGTGAAGCGCCATATTTAATTGTATTTGATTTTAGATTCAATTACAAGACACCAACATCCTTTCCAACACTAACAACATTGCCATTGGATATTCTCGATTCTTTGTTATAGATATTCTCGAAATCGATACCGTTTAATATGCAATTATATCGCCATATAACACGTATTTATGTTACCACTACTCACCAGTAATGTAGACGATGCCCTCTTCCATAATTTTTTCTTTGAAATAATAACATAGCGACTCCGGAACGGGTTATTTTCCTTTATTTTCATGAATTATAAATTACAACATGCAAGACACAACACGAGACGCAATTGCAAATTAGAAAAATTTGATATTAAAAATATTCGAATTGTATTCTAAGAAAGAAAAATGTAGATGAGCGCGCGCAAGGCTTGTGAATTAATTTTTTACAGTCAGTTAAAATCACCACGAATATCTTACCCATTTATACTTTTATAGTTTGAGAGTTTGGTTTGTTTATTGTTTGTAAAGTCAGCCAAGCATTCTTTTTGTCGGGTCTACAAATTATCTTCCATTTGAAAGAAAACACACGCGTTCAGGAGTTTCGTAAACTGGACCTCAAATAATTGCACTCGTCTTTTTTGGACTTGTTCAATATTGATAGTCTTGAAAAACACAGAATGCATGCTATTTTTCCAATTTTCACTTGCACCATGCTATTACATTTACCTATAAATTGTATTTCCTATAGGAAGTACTGAAAATAGTCGTGTTTAATGTTATTGTTGTTGTGTCTATAGAGTTTAGGAGGACCAGATTGGACAAAAGTTGTAACTTTAACTGTTTATCCTCAATAAATAAAGTGTTATTATTATTATTATTAAATTACATGACCGACTATTGAGCTAGATTTGACAAATGCTGGAGTTGCGCCATAGGCGTCAATGAATAGCACCTTTAATTTTTAATGATCAGCCCAGACTTGTTTGTCCGAAGATGCAAAACAAACATAAAAGGTCATACCAAGTGCATTAACAACAGCAGTGATATAAAATACAATGGCCCACTGATGTCGGATATCATCCTGAAAATGTGCAAGAAACATTTTGTTAACTGAAAAGAATCAACCATAATGAAATATGAATGACATATATGGTAGAGGTTGTTCAACAAAATATATGATGGCCAATAAAGGATATATGAATATTTACTGTCGATGCAATAGAAGTGTTGATAAAATATTGCACCAATTCCTTTCCTCAAGTTGATCAATTCATTTGATAGAAAATTGATCAAATTCCTGTTATTTTTAAATGAGCCAATTAGATTTCGTTTCAGAACCGATTGACCAATAGGAAACGCACAGGAAGTAAAAAGAAATTTGAATTCGTATGAGTTGATCAACTTGAGGAAATGAATTCATGCAATATTTTATCAACACTTCCATTGCATCGACAGTAACTGAGAAAATCTAGGTGGAATATTGCAAATCTGACTGATGAAGGCCTGAATAAGGCTGGTGTCATAGATATCTTATATACATTAGATAGCGCATCTCTTTTAGTAAAATTGAAGCCAAGAATATTCCAGCGGTTACCCCCATTTAAATAGATGGCGGCCATGTTGGTCGTTCCCACTTGCTAATAAACGCTTAAAAACAACAATAACTTTTATCATTTGAATAATTTAAAAACGTATTTGGAATGGGGTTAACTTAATGTTTAAGTTCCCTGTTTAAGAGATAGAAAACATACGAATCTTCTCATTTCATGGGAACGACCTGAGACTGCAATCACGGCTTCAATTTTTGAATTGCGGAATAATTAGATGCACTATCTAGTGTATATAAGATATCTATGGCTGGTTTACACTATATCAAAATTTATGCGATCACAGTAGGAATTTTGCATAGGTAAATTCTACGTTTTAAAGAATTTGTTAGAAATGTTTGAGGGAACTGACGCATGCAGTGGTAAACATTGTTGAGTAGATCTTGTTGAAATGATACATATCTACACCAATAATACTCCAGAATAATATTATGACTTATTTCCATATATCAGAATTGTCTCCTCTGGCTCGATCGCGTCTCATCCTCTTCCGGTTCAAAACGGGACCATGTAAGTGGACTCAGAGAAATTGTTACCTACCCCGTGAATAGTAATTGCTCCGACAACCTCGGGCGAAATAAATCCGGTAAGATTACAGGCAAAGTTTGCGAAACCCATTAAAACACCAGCATATTTTGGCGCCAATTCTACTATATTTGTTTGAGGTCCAGATGTGTTAAAATTCGACAAGGTTATTGCTATGGTAACAACGAAGATAGCGGAGGTCGCTGTTGACGCGTACACCATTGCGACTACAAAAATTCCACTAACTCCAGCGCCTGGTTGAAGAAAGTAAATATAAATAATTAGTGAACTAAACTTCACCAAACTAAAATAACTTCTACTAGAATGCTGTATCAGAGACCCCTCACCTGAATTTTAAACCTGAATTTTACACCTGAATTTTACTCTTGAGTTTTACACCTGAATTTTACACTTGAATTTTAAACTTGAATTTTAAACCTGAATTTTAAACCTGAATTTTACACCTGAATTTTACTCCTGAATTTTACTCCTGAATTTTACACATGAATTTTACACATGAATTTTACACTAGAATTGTGACGTCATGATTAAGTTGCCCCCGCCCAAAATAAAATCCTGGAACCGTTCGTATACTACTTACCTATAAAACTCGAAAGTTTTCTCGCATTTGTTGTAGAAATATATCTTTTGCTTCGTATGACATCTATAAAATATCCCCACGTAGGTGACAAAACAGCAGAAAGGAAATACGGTAGTGAGCTGGCAAACCCAATCTATACAATAACAAGCACGAAGTCATGTGAAAATTTATATTACACTGTAAATTCCAAAAAGTTGAATTAACCGTTGTAAAGTCACCGGCCAGGTGATCTCGGAACTCGGAAAAGGCCTGGCACTAGTTGTAAAATAGCCCTGTTCGAATAGAAAAGAACAAGGTTCATGTAAGACCGTAAAATCACGAATTTTGTTAAACTGCTACTGTTCCGAAACACTGTATATCATGGCTATAGGTTATCATAACTAGTGACTCTACTCCAAGACTACAAGGTAAATTTCGAAATAAAACGTAAACAAGTAAAACTGAATTGTGATGCCATAAAATTCAAATCAAATGGGGATTGCTGATTAAAACAAAGTAAGTCGAAAAACTATGTAAGTCGAAAAACTGTCTTAGGCTGCATGCTAAAACACACAGGTATTGTTGGTATACAGTGTACAGTAAAAACAAATATGCATGGGAATCAAGTATTATAGTATATTCACCAATAAACTGACTAATTCGTTTTACGGTAACTATCTTAATGAAATACAGAAAATTTCGAGGGGAGTCCCTTCATGTGGAAGTTACCTATTTCAAGATGAAGGTCTTCCCAGAAACGTCGAAGTTTTCTTTGTCATTCATTTCAAGTATATACTACTTACTGTTGTAATATCTAAGTTCTGAATATCTTTCAGATAGGTAGGAAGTGACATCATAAATGTATAAAAACTCCAACAGTGGGCAAAGTAAGCTATAATGATCGCCCAGACATGTACCGAGGTAAATATATATTTCCATGGAATATCACGAAGCGAGAGCTGAAAGTGAAAATACACTATTAAATCCTAAATCCATAGCTTTTCATCGCAAATATTCAACAGAGAAAAAAATTGAAACACCCTTTCGATAATTACGTCACATACGTTTTGGTCTTGGAGCCTCGCTCTCATTTGTAAATTGCGCAAGGTGATTGGCTCACGATTCATGAGAGCGAGGCTCCCAGGTCAAATGACGTATAATTATCGAAAGGGTGTATTGTTTATGAGTCTGGTAAATACATGCAAAATTGTGGCGGCTAGTTTTTGAATCGGAGTTAATACTAGTACATACTGTTGTAGTCCAGTGTTTTCCTATAAGTTCTAGCTCAGCTTTAGTAATATTAGGATGGTCACTTGGCTCTTCATAAGCAAAGTATTGCCAACATAAATACCACATCATTCCTTGAACACCTGAATAAATTAAAAAAGAGACACGAAAATACATTTTTAAAACAAAAAAGCATTTTATACAGTTGTGTTACATCACTTTTATTTTACAAATATGCCTTTAATTTGGTCACATTTGTGCTGAATCATTCGCAATTCTGTATACAGGGACAAGGAAATATGTTTAGCATCTCTCCTATATACCTTTACTGGTAATTATTAAGGTAATTCCGCAGTATTGTTCCCGAAATGAGAATGTGCTGAAACTTCCTAGGCATGGAGGTTATGATATACTTGGGGTCACCAAACTCGTTAAGAAGATATGACAGTCACAATATACCACCTTTACTCCAATATGGCGCCATCTTGACGCTCATTACGAGCAACAGCAAAATCACAACAGCCCGATATTTATTGACGTTTTTAGCGCGGATTTTGCTTTAGTAAACCTATCTTGTAATTATTTTTGAAAAAATATTGTGTTTTGAGCAAAATGAAACTACTAATGTGTACAATTCCGATTCACAAATGTCTTTTCCACATTTCTTTACATATCTTTCTTTGAGAACATGCATTGATAAAGGATTTTTTTTTCAAGATCCAGAAATGATTTGTCTTTTAATTTCGGATATGAAATGTAAAATGCATTAAAGAAATAAATTATCAGTTAAAAAACGGGGGTCACCGATCTTTTTAGGGAATTGTGGCATTAAAACGTGAAATACAAGTAAATAAATATGCTGCAGACACAGGAACCCTAGCTACAATTTTGCATGCCTTTTTTGAAAACATTGATTTTAACGTAATTCTTTGCACGAATGTAACCAAAGATGTTTTGAAGTAACATAAAATTGTCATAAAATTTATTTTTTTAAACTGTACGTATAATGGATGAAATTATAAGTTATAAGATGTGCGCAGTAAAAGTGCGCAATGCAAAACTGCGGAATTACCTTAAGTCATTTTAAATTTTCAAGAAACATCACAAGAAACTGTGGTGTCAGAAATTTCTTTGCATCAACACTTTATATTTTCATACTCATTTTTGCAGGGCACATGCAAGTAGTATATGAAACCATACCGAAGTAATAAAAAACAGACTGCCATCCCCACGAACTGCCTGCCAGAACACCACTTAGTGAATTTGCAACTACAGTTCCCCATAAAACACCTAAGAGAATGATAATAAAGTTCAGTTCAGGTAAAATAAAAGTAAAAACTGTGTTTACATGGGTAAATAAAAAAAATGATGGGCAATTACAATGCACCCTTCCGTCACCCACTGGAAAATTTGGAACACTTCTGTACTGCGTGCGTGCATGCACATGGGAAAGTTCTAAATTATCTGGAAAAAGGTTAGAAATTCAACACTTCCATAGTATGTTTTGGACACTTTCAAAGTTTATAGAAAACCAAAACTTTATTGTATACAAATGTTTCAAGTTTTCCGGTGACTTTTACTTGATAATTGAGTCTCACTTTTGTGTTAGAGACCTTCACGTCTTTAGAGCCTTTTATCTTGTTATTGGTGTTGTAATTATATAAAGATCTGCTATTGATTAATATGGAATAATTGTGTGCATAAGTACAGTACATTTACCCTGCATACCTGAATGTCCTACCATCAGAAAAATGCTTCTCTCGTAAATTGGAGACCATTTGCTTATTAATGATATTCCTGACACCCCCACCAAACCCTAGTTGATAAAATTTAAAACAATATTAAAAACAAACTTTCACACGACTTATGCATATGGTTGGATTGTAGATAAAATTTAGAACGATAAAAACGCCGATATTTTGCCGACGTGCTTATATAGATTCTTTGTCGTTATTGGTATGCAACAATGTATATGTAACAATGTATACTGATTTTATACTGAAAAAAACTTAAGTTCTTGGGATACTGTGCATCGTCAAAAGTCATGCATGTGTGTTATAAAAGTATTATGGAAATTCACACCGCGATGAGTAGTATAGTATATAGTATACATAGAAGTTCAGTTGCACATTAAATATTATTAAAATACTCATTAATAATTCATAAACCTTGTGGCAAATCATGTCAGTCATAATATGTCACGTGGAGTGACCTTATATCTGATAGAGCATGTGTCATCATATAATTGTTCATCCTCATTAGCATGATTATATATAATGGTTCATCCTAATTACTATTCTTTGTAGTCGTATTTTAAGCAATTCAAAACACTCGTTGTCGTGTTTTATCAGACATAAAACGCTCGGCTGCGCCTCGCGTTTTATATCTGATAAAACACTCCTACTCGTGTTTTAAATAGTTAAATATCTACTAATAACGACTGAACAAAAGTGTCTTTGATTCGGCAAATTCCTTGACAACACACCCAGAAAAAGTAGTGTGAAATTTCGTTGTAAAAATACATCACAATAAAAATTATTCATACAGTATACTTTACTCAGGATTACTATAGTCACAATTTGTGTTCATCACAATACGCATATTACTCTATACTATAATCATAACACCACAGAAAAACATTTTTTGTTAACACTAACCAAAAATGCCCCTTCCGTGATACGCAAGAGTAGAAACGAATAGACATTTTGTCGAACAATGTACGGTGTGAGAAGGGTAAGAGCTGAAGAACCAAATATTGCAATACCAAGTAAGAAAGAGCCGCCATATTTTACGCTTAGTAGTCCAGCTGGTATTTGTAATGCAGTATAACCCCAGTATAATGATGCCAATATGGTGCCTGTGGACGATAATAATATAAATTGCTATTAACAAACAAGTTAAGGCTACATTAGGTATTTAGGTGATTGCATGACAAATACAAGATATCGAACCTTGAAATTGTTTATCCCAATGAAACTCTGGTTCCTGAAAAAAATATATAAAAATATCTAGCAATTACAGCTTATCTAGAACTGTTCACATAAGTTGCCTTGAACATTAGTAAAACTCACCATGTCTCTAGATAAATGAGGCCCAGAGCTATTATACCGCTTTCCTTCGCCATGAGTCATTGCCACAATGGTCACGTTAAGACACATACGTATGCAGTACATGTTAAAGTTGGCCAACATAATGAGAACCAGGATTATAAAACGTTTGGGGATTGCTGGAAATAAGCTAGGTTTTGATACTTTAGCATTGAGGGGTCCATTCTTGTTTATCTCGCTATTCACATCAAGAGGTTGTCTTTTCTCGCTAAATAAAGAACATGCTTATATCATGATCAAGTTATTATTCGACACAATTTCTGTATCTTAATTCTGCTAAGTTGTTTGTCTTGCTACCTTCCTTTCGTTCCTACCCAATTCTATTCCTTAAAGTTGGTTTACGCTATCAAAGTTTCTGTGATCACAGTAGGAATTTTGTATAGGTAAATTCTAAGTTTTGAAGTGTTTGTATAAGAAATGTTTCAGTCAGAGTTCCCTCGAACATTTCTTACAAATCCTTCAGAATTTGCCAATGCAAAATTCCTACCGTGATCACAGAAACTTGGTAGTGTAGACTATATGCGGCTGCATTTATAGTTCTTCTTTCAGCTTACATTGTTACTCAATCTTGTTTGTTTGTTTTTTCTTTCGAAACTTTTCCATGAATTAATTAATGCATCAATTAATTATTAATTCATTAATTATTTCTTCTTCTGCATGTCCTATCTATACTGACTAGCTTGCTTCATTCATGTGTACTTAATTCGACCTAACTTCTCTCTGTGTCATAATATATCTTATTCTACGCTAATCAATTTTAGTTAATAATAATATAAACATACCATAGCTCGATATCACCTTGATTGATTTCTCTATCCGAGTGTGGATATGTAAATTTGTCCATTTCACCATGGAACTGTGCCGAACTGTCCTCCTCGTTACTAATCATCGTTATTTAGTATCTTTAGAATCAAATAAATTTATTGACACTAGGTATATTTACTATATATTTTATATAGAAATTGAAATTCTACACAGGTGCCATAGAAAAATATTCCGCATATATTTTGCAGTATGACAACGTTAGCTTTATAATAGAGTCCACAAATCGTCTGTTTTAAAGGTCTCTAATATTAAGTGGGGCACAATGCAACTTAATGGGTTAAACTGTATTAAGTTATATGAAGTATTTGAATATTTGATACATATACTACTCTCACTACTGTATGTGGCAAACATCGGCCAACGTAGATATGGGCCATAATCATTAATAGTTGATTGCTATGTTCAAGAATATGATAAACAAATATATATATATATATATATATATATATATATATATATATATATATATATATATATATATATATATATATATATATATATATATATTTATTAACTTCAGCCGTCAACCGAAATATACATATACAAACAGGAAGACGGTTCAGGAACACTAACACAGCGTGAGCCAATTACGTTAGTGACCTGTTACAAAACATCATTATACAAAACTTCACAACTTATAATTTAAATATCAAACAAGAATATAGTATAGTCCTTTTTATCCGAAGTAGAGAGAGAGGGTAAAAAATTTCGAAATTTGGGAAAACAAAATGACAAAATTGTCAAACAGAATAAATGCGAGAATATATATATAGGTTCTGTATCCGTCGATAAAATAAAACGAAAATGGCGAAAAACCCAACTCTACATCGGATAAAATGAATATATATATATATATATATATATGGAGAAAATCTTCTCGAGTGTGTATTTCATAATATCCATATCCAGCGCAAGCAGAAAGATGTCTGCCGCGGCTGCATCTTGAACCCGTGACCTTCGAATTACTAGATCGAAGGTCGGTCTAGTAATTATATTTATATTATATTATTTATATTATTATTATTATTATTATATCATTTATATTATTATTATTTATATTATATATTTTATATTATATTTTTTATATTATTTTAATTATATTTCTATTATATTATTTTTTCCTTTATATTTATATATTTATATATATATATAGTCGAATTAAATAATAATTTTTGAACTGGTTATAGTGAGTGCTTATTAATTATATCTCCATGTCAATTAATGTATCAATGTAAACTTTTACCTTAAAAAAACGTCCCATTCAATGAAATGTGTTACTCTTCGCCCTTGATTCAAAACAAAACACGAAAAATCACTGATCCATCCCAGCTTTTAACATAGATATTATCGAAGTTAGTATCGTAAATATTCAATTTTATTGCTACATAAAACGTATTTATATTACCATCAGTAATGTAAACGATTGTCGCTTCCCTGTATAATAATATCTTTTTGAAATAGTCAATAAAATAGCGAACCTCGAACGGAATAAGGCAATTTAATACTTTCATTGGACATTGACCTTTATTTTCATGAATTATAAATTACAACATGCAAGACACAACACGAGACAAAATTGCAAATTAATATAAGTGTTAGTATTAAATTAAGCAAAAAGTAGATGAACAGGCTTGTGAACTGATGAGATTTTTACAATCAGTGAGACAAAATTATTGGGACTTGGGTTGTTTATTGTTTACATATGATTTATCGGCCAATAAACTTCGTCTTTCTTCTAATAGAAGAAAAGTATACTTCACATGTCAGAATTTGTGCTTAAAACAGGACGTTTGCACGATGATTGTAGAGTTCTCAAAGTTTAATTTGAGGATTTTAAATTTTGGAAGAACTAGAACGATCTCAAGCAAGGCGTAATGTTCTTGTAAACTTGTAGTAGTACTTATAATATCAAGGAGGTGGTACATAACAGTGACAGGCTGGCAAACTTGTGAACACTCAACTTGATCAGATAATCTAGATATCCACCTTAACAAAGATTCTCAATGTGTATAAGCCAATGAGCTTCGCTTTTAAATCCCATCACAATGGCGTTTGACTTTATAAGTACCACCATTTTAATTGTAAATTATACTTCGAGATTTTATGTAGGGATCAATTGAAGTATATGACGTCCATAAATTAGTGCTCGTTCTTTAGATTAGTCACCCTTGGTGACTGATGACTTTATATATTAGTAAACGTGAATTTCAAATTTTTGGGAAAACGAAGGAATGCGAGTGCTTTTGCCAAGGAATTCTCGATTCCTTGAATTCGTGGGTGTCCCGCGTGACCAAAGTGTGGTGTATTAAAATTGTAAACAACAAAAAGAACAAAAAGTAAATATTGCCTATTTTCCAGGGCGATATTTGGTTTGATCTGGCAGAACACTTTTGAATCAAAAGTTTTTGATGTTATATTCATTTACTTGTCGTTATAACCTCCATTTTGAGACGAAAGAGGACTTATCAAACCCCGATGGCTGAATTAATAGAAACCAGATTTCGCGAGGCTGGCCGCGGTTGTGGGGCGTTATATGTTCGCTTGAAACCGATATTTGAGTATGTTGTTGATTTGCTAATGATCGCTTACCAGTGCTATGATTGTGTTAGTGATGGAATAAACGTTCATGCCTACTATGAAGGCGATTCCTTGGACGTTAGCAGCCGTGATGACCGTGTTTATCGCGCCTTTTTGTTCAGCCTTTTAGTCAGCTGTGTGTGTGCCCTGGCAAGTATTGTAGGTTATATCTTGTTGGTCATTGGCTTGTCAAAGAAACTATACAAACATCAAGAGGATAAGAATAACACTTATAAACTTGGCCGGTTGATTGTATTCATCAGCTTGATTTGTCAAGTAAGTTTCGAAGAGACAATACAATGTGTCGTGATGTACTACTACATTGTTCGATGTTCAGTCATATTCAGCTTTTGGAAGACAAGCTTATTTGTATGTACAACACTCAGTTTGGTTATATCTTGCTACACATTCTTTAAAGCAGCATATCTTTGGTTCAAGAAACAAGATTCCCTACCTCGGAAATACCCATCATGCCTCGCACCGTGTTACAACTTGGAAGTGTCGCATGTCGGGTGTGTCATTTTGTGTGTGTTTGCCAGTCTCCTGACCTTGGCCCTGTTTTCACTAAACATTGTAACATTAGTAGACATTATTAAATATTCTGAAGTTGACGTACCCCATGTGTTTGCCAAGAATCGATTTGGAAACTATGCACCTGTAAAAATTACACAGGTTAAAAAACTAGTAAAATCACATAGTCAAAATATCATAGAGAAAATACCATGTGCCAATTCAAACTTTGAAGCAAGCCATTTTCTTGGGGATCATTCATCCCTGAATTGTACCACAGCAGTTTTTACACTAAACTTTGCAAAACACACAAAGAAGCTGAACTATAAACTGCAGTATTGCTACAAAGCAGACAACAGCTGCGTGGAAGTCAAGGCAACCAACATTACATTGGATTATACTCATGATCTGTGTTCACCATTAGCTCCTGCCTTTGATTACCTGGGTGATCCTAGGCAAATTGTGAAAACAACAAGTGCTATCATGACAAAACAATTGCCATCGAACAGCAGTAATACTTGATCTTATTGGAAAGTAGATGCATTGCAGTACGTATAGGCAGGCTTTTAGCCAGGCTCCTAAAAGAGGGCGTCCAATTTTGGTACAACGATGCATCTACAGTAGGGGGGTTTGAGAAAATGTTCCTCTGGAAAAAACCTTTTGTCTCTAAAGTTTACGCATTTCATGTCAGTATCTTTTGCTGCAAGCTTGTTAGAAATTTTTCAAAACACACTTATTTTGTCAAATGTATAATAATAATGAGAATTGAAGCTATTTCATATATTATATTATTAATACACTTAGGAAAATAATTGAAAATAATTTCCCTTTTCCCCCAGAATTTGGGCATCCATTTTTTGTTCTAGGGGTGTCCCAGGATGCCCTTCTGGCTAAAAGCCTGCGTATAGGCTATTGCAGTAATTGAAAAATACTGAAGTATGATATCAAAATTGAACTGCTGATGATATTGATAATTAGTATTTCTCACTCTGGAACAGCACCAAATTTTAACCTATTTTTTGTTCACATACTTACAAATATATTTAGCACATTCAATTAGGGTTGTGTTGAAAAATGAAAGCCTTATGGACTAAAAGTTGTTGAACTTATCTATTCTTAATATAGTTGTACCATACTCAATTAATGCTGAAAATACAAAACAGATTTGATATACCATACATAAGTATTAGATAATTGAAATTAATATATATCAGGACAAATTGAACATAGTTCCTGTTGTTTATCATGTAAAAGTTGGAGAGCAATGAGTAAGGTTCCTTTTATAATAAAAAAGTTTATTCAAATCTGTAAAATATTTAGCTTTTGACATTATCACTTTGCATCTTACCTTTACTTTTGAATGCATGCTTCTTAACCTATTAATGTCAAATAAATCGTCCCGTTTATGCTGGAGGTATTAAATGGATACCAGGACCCCACTGAAAAACACTTCGGTATATGGATATCCTGGATAAATATGAAGATAATAATAATAATGATTTTTCTTTATCAGATCCAAAACTATCCCCTGAGGCTGAGGAGTAAAATCGCCTGCTTATAGACTGTGTATATAATAAAGGATGGGGTGGGAGGAGGGTAACGCTGGAACGTGTTGCTGCTTGGGGGTTAACAAGAAACATGTGCAGATAGTATTGCTGACATATGACAGTGAAGATTCGCCCCAGTGAAGATTCGCCCCAGTGAAGATTCGCCGAAGTAAATCGTCTTGCATGAGAATATTGCTATGGATAGAAAATATCATTTTATAAATGATAAGGTTATACAAGAAGGCCTGTCCCTAAATGAATAGAAAGCAGAAAGATAAAATTCTGAACCAGGGTCTAATATCCGAACAAACCAACTAGCAAAGAATCTAAAGATTTGTAACTTATTTCAGATGTTTGGAGTCTATATATTTAAGAGTGCATAACTCAGGGTGTCCACGGGCCTTGAAAATCCTGGAAAGTCCTTGAATTGGAAAAACAACTTTCCTTAACCTCCAGCTGTGCCAACATTAGTGACATTACTGAATAAAGTGAATTATTTACAGCAAATCCGTGCCATTTTCAAAGTTTTTTCCCAGTTCTAGGTCCTTGAATTCACTGAAAAAGGGCCTTGAAAGTCCTGGAAAAGTCCTCGAATTTCACCAAAGGGTGGACACCCTGATAACTGCTTCTATCTGTTCTGAAAAGGTTAATGACGAACACGTATATATATGACTGTTTCGTTTTTATTCGTGGTATTTGTTTTATATTCCTGTTCAATATACATCGATTGATGCTAAATTTTGCCTTCTCCGTTAAAGAATTAGCTGCATATATAACTAGTATTATATCTTTCCGTTTAACTTGTGGTATATATTGTACATTCCAGGATGCAATGATTAATGCAAACAGAAAGATATTTATGTACTTCATGCCAATACAATAACCAGTACATCATAACGTAAGATAAATTTACGTTCGTGTGATTTTATAAAGTGGTATAAAAATCCGTGATACCCTTTTTTTTAATCAACTTTTTGAATTGCTTTTTGTAACTCTTATTAAGACCTATCGGCTATCTATCCAGTTTCGTTGTAAACGACTAACGTTTCTGATTTTAATGTAAGAAAACCCTAGCACTACCTACCTGTACATGTATATCACTAAATTTTATAAATATTGTATATATTACTACATTGAAATTGCGAATAGACCGTTTGTGTGGCTGCTCAATGCTGACTGACGATTTGGACATGGTATAAAAAATTTGTTTTTCGTAATACAGTTTCTGTATTCAGGTTATTTATTCCAGTTAAGACCAATTCATGCAGCTTCGTTGTCCCTGCCTGGTTGCCTCTTCCAGGCAACCAATTATCCTTGAAACCGTGTACACCAACTGTTATAGAACCACTGGTCAACACTGTACATTAATTTCTATTTCTCTAAATCCCTTTGGAAATACACCGATCTAAAGTTATTACCCGCACTCAGCAGCATGACACCATGCTCGACTTCATGTTCGAATTTCCGCTGAGCTATATCACCGTGGTAATAGCGATATGGACACGAAAAGCATTGGAATGAATCTTGACAGGATTCCTACCATCTATACATGGCTTTCCTTCCGTTCTCGAAACTTCGGAGCCTTTCCCGACCTGTTTACGATTAACACCGAATCTTCGTCGTCAACCTTTATGCATTCCTCGGAATTCCCTTCGGATTCCACGAGTCCACTGTCGCTACTCTTTTCTTCAGATCTCTTGTCGGGTTCACCATCCTCGTTCACTAGTACTTCGTCTTCGTCCTCCGCGTCATTTTCCTCGCTGACAAAAACGTTGCCGAAAGACGTACGAACTGAGCTCAGACCATGGTTGGGCCCAGACTCCGATAGGGTGCGGGGAGTCATTGGGCTTAACAACGGCGCTTCAACATCAATGTATTCCTATAGTGAATAAAAAAGCATAAACCTATAGACTTTAATCTTAAAATGGAGCCAGGCCATGATGTTGGGGGATCATCTCCAAGCTGGTGACTGTCGGGAAAGAAGACGATACACGTGATTCTATAGAGTTAACCAAGAACTACGGGCTCAGGTTAAAATTTCCATGGTTAACCTAAAAATAATTTGGGTGAACTCAACATTACTGATATTACCTCATAGGTCTCCCATTTTATTTATATCCCTAACGATCAGCTCCGTTATCAGGAATGAGTCCTACGTTTACTGCTTTAAATCTATTGCTGTGTTTCAAACACATATTATATTCCTGATCTTTCCCCCAAAAAATATAAAAATAATTTGGGTTAACTCATCATTACTGATATTACCTCATCGGGCAAGGTTTTCTAAGGTCTCCCATTTTATTTACATCCCTAACGATCAGCTCTGTTATCAGGAATGAGTCATACGTTTACTGCTTTAAGTCTATTGCTGTGTTTCAAACATATAGTATATTCCTGATCTTTCCCCAACAAT